TTTCTGCCGGCTCAGCCTCTCTAATGTGTCCCAGGCGCGAGCTCCTCCTTCTCCTCCTCCCAGCCCCACCTCAGAAGGAAGGAAGGAAGGAAGGAAGGAAGGAAGGAAGGAAGGAAGAGGGAGGAAGGAAGGAAGGAGGGAAGGAAGGAAGGAAGGAAGGAAGGAAGGAAGGAAGGAAGGAAGGAAGGAAGGAAGGAAGGAAGGAAAGACAGAGAAAGGGAAAAGGAAAGGGAAAGGGAATGAAAGAAGGGTCGAGGAAGGAATGAAGCAAGGAGGGGAGGGAGGGAGGGAGGGAGGGAGGAAGGAAGGAAGGAAGGAAGGAAGGAAGAAAGGAAGAAGGAAGGAAGGAAGGAAGGGGGAAAAAAGAGGGGGAAAGAAGAAGAAAGGAAGGAAGGGGGGGAGAAAGAAAAGGAGGAAGAGAGGAAGGAAAGAGAGAAAGGGAAAGGGAATGAAAGAAGGGCAGAGGAAGGAATGAAGCAAGGAGGGGAGAGAGGGAGAAGGAAGGAAAGGAGGAAGGAAGGAAGGAAGGAAGGAAGGAGGGAAGGAAGGAAGGAAGGAAGGGGGAAAAAGAAGAAAGGAAGGAAGTGGGGAGAAAGAAAAGGAGGAAGAGAGGAAGGAAAAAGAGAGAAAGGGAAAGGGAATGAAAGAAGGGCAGAGGAAGGAATGAAGCAAGGAGGGGAGAGAGGGAGAAGGAAGGAAAGGAGGAAGGAAGGAAGGAAGGAGGAAGGAAGGGGGGAAAAGAAGAAAGGAAGGAAGGGGGGAGAAAGAAAAGGAGGAAGAGAGGAAGGAAAAAGAGAGAAAGGGAAAGGGAATGAAAGAAGGGCAGAGGAAGGAATGAAGCAAGGAGGGGAGAGAGGGAGAAGGAAGGAAAGGAGGAAGGAAGGAAGGAGGGAAGAAGGAAGGAAGGAAGGAAGGGGGGGAAGGAAGGAAGGGGAAGAAAGAAGAAAGGAAGGAAGGGGGGAGAAAGAAAAGGAGGAAGAGAGGAAGGAAAAAGAGAGAAAGGGAAAGGGAATGAAAGAAGGGCAGAGGAAGGAATGAAGCAAGGAGGGGAGAGAGGGAGAAGGAAGGAAAGGAGGAAGGAAGGGAAGGAAGGAAGGAAAGGAAGGAAAAGGAGGGAAAGAGAGAAAGCAAAAGAAAAAGGTTGGGAAGAACTGAGGAAGGAAAGAAGCAAGGGAAGGAGAAGAAAAGGAAGGAAGGAAGGAGGGACAGGAAGGAAGGAAAAAGGAAGGGAGGGAGGGAAAGAAGGGAAGGAAGGAAAAAAAGAAGGAGGGACAGGAAGGGAGGGAGGGAGGAGAAGGAAGGAAGGAGGAAGGAAGGAAGGAAGGAAGGAAGGAAGGAAGGAAAGAAAAGAAAGGAAAAGAAAGGAGAGGAAAGGAAGGAAAGGAGGAAGAGAGAAAAGGAAAAAGTGGTTTGGGGAAAATTGAGGAAGGAAAGAAGCAAGGGAAGGAGGGAGGGAGGAAAAGAGGGAAGCATGGAGGAAGGAAAGGGAAGGCGAAGGAAGGAAGGGAGGGACTAAAGGAAGGAAATAAAGGAAAGAAGGAAGAGAGAAAGGCAAAAGGAAAGAAATGAAAGAAGGAGGAGGAGAAGGAAGAAGAAGGAAGGAGGGGGAGAAGGAAGGAAGGAGGAAGAAAGGAAAGAAAAGGAGGGAGATGGAGGAAGGAGAGAAAGGAGAGGGAAGGAAGGAAGAGAAGGAAAAGAAAAGGAAGGAAGGAGGGGAGGGGAGGAGGGATGTTGGAAAGAAGGGAGGGAGAGAAGCAGTAAAGAAAGAAAAAGGAAAAGAGGGGAGGATGGAGGAAATGGAGGGTGGGAAGGAGAAAGAAGGAAGGAAAGACAGAAAGAAAAAAGAAGAGGGGATGAGGAAGGAAAAAAGAGAGGGAAGGAGGGAGAAGGAAGTAAGTAACGAAAAATAAAGAAAAGGAAGGGAAGGATAGAGGGAGGGAAAAGGAAGGAAAGAAGGGTGGGGAGGATAGAGGAAGGAAAGGGGAGGAGAAAGGAAAGAAGGAAAGAAAGAAAATAAAAGGCTAAAGGAGTTAAGGAAAGAGGAAGGGATGAGAGAGAGAGAAAAGCGAAAGGGAAGGGAAGGGAAGAAGGGTGGAATCCTTTGATGGGAGGTGTTAGCTGGCCCTGATTGATTCCTGTCTGGAATTCCCTTGTCTTCTGGTGTTGTTCTTTATTTACCGTCCTGATTTTGGAATTTCTTTAATATTCTGTCATTGGTGGGGTTCAGCATGCTCCCTGATTGTAGGTGAACTATAAATCCCAGCAACTACAACTCCCAAATGTCAAGATCGATTTCCCCCAAACACCATCTGTGTTCATATTTGGGCATATGGAATATTTGTGCCAATTTTGACTGTTTGAGTCCACAGTGCTCTCTGTAGGTGAACTACAACTCCCAAACTCAAGGTCAATGCCCACCAGATCCTTCTAGTTCAGTGTTTCTCAACCTTCCTAACGCCACGACCCCTTAATACAGTTCCTCATGTTGTGATGACCCCCAACCTAAAATTATTTTCGTTGCTACTTCATAACTGGAATTTTGCTACTATTATGAATCGTCGTGTAAATATCTGATAGGCAGGATGGATTTTCATTCTCTGGACCTTGGGAGTTGTAGTTGCTTGGATTTATAGTTCACCTACAATCAAAGAATATTCTGAACTCTACCAGAGATGGAATTGACCCAAACTTGGCACACAGAACGCCCATGACCAGCAAAAAATAATGAAAGGGTTAGGTGTGGGAGTTTGGAAGTTGTAGTTCACCTATCTCCAGAAAGCACTGTGGACTCAAACAATGATAGATCTGGACTAAACTTGGCATGAATACTCAATATGCCCAAATGTGAACACTGTTGGGAGTTTGGGGAAAATAGACCTTGGCATTTGGGAGTTGTAATTGCTGGGATTTATAGTTCACCTATAATCAGAGAGCATTCTGAACCCCACCAAGCCAGACTTCCCACACAGAACTCCCATGACCAGCAGAAAATACTGTGTATCCTGATGGTCTTTGGCGACCCCTCCGACACACCATCACAACCCCCCCAGGGGTCCCGACCCCCAGGTTGAGAAACACTGTTCTAGTTGGTCATGAAGGTCCTGGGTGCCAAGTTTGGTTCAATTCCATCATTGGTGGAGTCCAGAATGCTCTTTGATTGTAAGTAAACTATAAATCCCAGCAACTACAACTCCCAAATGACAAAATCAATTTTTTGAGTGATAGTCACTCCTTGGGTTAGTAGGTGTCTTGTGGCCCAATTTGGTGGCAATTCGTCCAGTGGTTTTTGAGTTCTGTTAATCCCACAAAGGAACATGACATGTTTATTTATATAGATTATGATTTACCTGGCCTCTTGCCTGAGATGACAGGCCTGTTCTGCTGCTCCAGAGGCATCCCATGGTTCTCCAAGGGTTAAGCGGAGGAATGCTGAGCCCAGTCGGCCTGCCACTCATCCTGCCCGGGTCTGGGGTCTGTTTCTTTTCCTCCGGCAGCTCCATCCGTCTGCATTAAAGTGACAGCCGGAGTCTGCAGGAGTCGGATATTTCCTCTGAAGAGGGATTTGGATGCGGGTCAGAGGCTCCAAGGGCGTCTTCCTGCTCTTGACCCTCTGCTTCCTTTCATGGCCCTGGCTTGGGGGCTTCTTTGGGCCCAAATGGGGCAATGCATTAGTCCCAGGTTGCAGAGTGAACCTTCCTTTCCAAAGTGGCCCAACCTCCTGCCAAGGATCAGCTCTGCTGACAGAACCAATTAGGAAATGACATTGATAATGCAGGAACAAAAATTGTGTTACATAGTGTTAGCATTGATATTGTGTGCCTTCAAGTCAATTCCAACCAACAGTGACAATAAGGAGAAACAATTGGGAGGTTTCCTGGTTAGGTTGGTTCAAAGGGGGTTCGTGTTGGGCAGAGGCGGCCCTAAGTAATTTTCAACGGTAAGCAAACAGTATTTTGGCGCCTCCCCCCCCCCCCCACAACCAATCATTGATATATATTTTCTGTTTGTCGTGGGAGTTCTGTGTGCCATATTTGGTTCAATTCCATCATTGGTGGAGTTCAGAATGCTCTTTGATTGTAGGTGAACTATACATCCCAGTAACTACACTTGCCGCACTTGCTCCCTTGCCTGGCCCACTTTGGGTCCGGAGGCGTGCCTGAAGACCCCGGCGTGTGCACCAAAAGTCACCTCTTCTCCTGACTTTCTCCTCAGCCATTGGGACCAAGAGAGAGAGAGAGAGAGAGAGAGGTGGAGATGCCCACCTTTCCTGAAGGTAGGCGCAAAAACAAAGGAGGGAGCGGAGGTGGGAGATACCTCCAGCCGGAGGGGCTCTCTCTCTCTCTCTCTTGGTTCCCAATGGCTGAAGAGAAAGTCAGGAGAAGAGGTGACTTTTGGTGTGCACGCTGGGGTCTTCAGACACGCCTCCGGACCCAAAGCAGGCCAGGCGCAGCACCCGCGAATCGGGGAGAAGAGAGCGCCGGGGGATCAGGAAAGGGAGCCAGTCATGGAGAAGGGATCAAACAAAGAGAACAATTGAGCGCCGGCTCTGCTCGCACACCCGGTGGCCAGGTGGAGCAAGAACGAGAGGGGCTAGGCGAGGCTCAAGGGCCCGGCCCCTTTGGGAAGAGGATCGCCCGGCAGCGAGGCAAGAAAGCCGAGCCTCCCCCCGGACTGCTGGGGCTGTTGTGAGCTGAGGGGGCGCTCCTCATGTGGTGGTCGAGGGGCATTTACAGAGGCGCCTCTGCGCCCCTGGCAAAAAAAAGTGTTCTGCGACCGCTTACTTCGCGTAATGGACAAGCCGCCCCTGGTGTTGGGACTCTGCCTGTGCTTGAACCTGTGTTTCAGTCTCCTGATGTTTCTGTGTCTGATGTGGGTCATGAGGAGGGAAACCAGTCCCCTGTTGCTTCTGATGTTGGGGATGCTGGGCCTGACTCTGAGGTGCAAGATGGAGACACTTTGGTCAATGAGTTTCATGCAGACACTGACAGAGAGGCTTTGGT